ATTTTTCAGCAATTAGAGCTACAGTAGCTTGTCTGTAAGATCACACCACATGGGCCAGCCTTTGCTCAACACGTGCTTCAGTGAGCCTTGGCTGCTCAAGACCCATTGCTGGTTTACCACTTTTTCTACCTTGGTCCCTTTGATAGATGCTGACCACTGCAGACCAGGAACACCTCACAAGAGCTACCATTGTGGGGTAGCTCTGACCCACTCATCTAACCATCACTATATGGCTCTTGTCAGACTCTCATACACTTACGCTTTTTCCCTTTTCTAGCTTTTGCTCCTTTAGCTTTCATTCAACATTAATTTAAATGCACACTTTTCATTTGGATCACCAGATACTTTCATGACTCTGGCTTTAAGGTGACTTATGAAGCTTAAGCAGCAGCCAGATGAAAATAAAAAAGAATTTCCATGCTGAAAATGTTGTACTGATGTGGGGTTTTTGTCTTTTAAATCAAACAAGCACTCCGATAAGTTGGTTGCTTTCTTTGATAAGGCTTGCTTTCCTTTACTCAACCTCAAGCTTTTGATAAATGCCTTAATGTTAAAACGCTGAGCAGGTGTCTCTTGAGAACAAGATGTTTGATTGAAAAGAAAAACTATGAGTGATGACAGCACCATCTGCTGTGGACTGTTTGTCACTCCCACACAAGATCTGGAGGTTGGGAAGAATAATTCACATGACTAATCTGATGTTTCAAAACTAAGTTGAATCTGACAAGCTGCACACCCTCTAGAATCTTTAAGACATTAAAGGAGTCTTACATAAGGCAATGCTTTATTTAATTGAGCAAAGAAAAAAAAACCACTATGCAATGTTGTGCAAAAAACTGAAACTCAGATGCAAGATTAACATTCATCAATGAGAACATTTGTTTAAAAAAAGTATATATATAGTTGCATAGTAACTGATGTGAAACAACAGAAAATAAACGTGATTATTTTGAAGTTAAGCGAGTTAGTTACTGCAGCACCACTTAAACACATTTTAAGGCAAAAAATATGACTTCATTAAACAGAAGGAGTTGTTTTGGAGAACGAAAACATATGGTGAGCACCTTGCCTTGGGTTGTGACAACCTTTAAGATGAACCTTGAAGTTACTTATAAAATTT